TAAAAAAAATATCTGCCATAATTTAATCTTCCATGCTCTGTCTCCTCCCTTGATATGCTTTTCAGTGCGATCCAGCTCTGCTTCCTGAGCCTAATCATGTCATGCTGAACCACCTCTATGCACTTTCTATCAAGGTAAAGGAGTCTTGCCTTTCATAGCAGTTGCATTTAGCTAACCATTAGCAGGGCTCAACAAATAGTGTAATCTACTCGCAGAGTGCAGAACCGTGCAGCTGGCGAGTGGGGCTCGCCACCGCATGGCGAGCCCTGACCATTAGGTTGTGCTAATTTGTTTTCCATTTTCCCTAGGATGGAGTAATGGTGCTTAGTGCCACCCATCGGTACAAGAAAAAATACGTGACTACTTTGCTGTACAAGCCAATATGATGGGTCCTGCATTTAGTAACCAGGTATCCTGGGAATGATGAAGTGCTGGAGGAAACAAATTCTTTGCTATACCAAAATGTGCATGATCTAGCCTATCGTAAACACTCTGATTTCATACAGGTTTAAAGACTTCACATTTGTCTAATTTTTGCCTTGTTCTCCAGTCCCACCTGGAAATTTTCAGATTCAGCCAGGACCAAACACCTGATCGGTGGTGTTGCCATTTTTTCAGCTCAGTAACAATCACTTGGGATCTATTAGTGAAATCATGCTGGAAAATACAGGGATAGTGATGGCTCAGATGTGGTTCATGAGTGATAGAAGCTGTAGAAGATAATATTCTCAATTGTGCAGGATCCTTGCTGTTTGAGTGGCTGTTTTTTATCATAAGGCTGAATGATATCACTATATTACTGGCTGAGCTCCACCATATTCCCTGGCTTAAATACATGTGGAAAATGGCACTCCTTCTATTGCAGATTTTTTTGGGTGAAGCCAGAGATGCTGCTTACCAACACTCACACAATTTTTCTTTAATCAGTAAACAGGGGTTCAGTAAGTTTTCCAATGTAAGTGATGCTCTAGCATTTTTTTCTCTTATGAGAACTCAGAAATAACTTTTTCCCAGTGCAATTGGCTGGTAAAGACAATTATTCTTAATTACTGTTTTTTTGCTAAGACCATATAATGTATCCTGCAATAATCTGTTCTTGTTACAGACTTGTAATCTTTTTTTTCTGATAAGAGCTGACTTAAACAGGGCTGAGTTCCTGCAAGAAAACTGACCAATGTAGGATAATGACTCTAATTAGCTTTTATCAATTAATGATAAGGTGATTCCGAGATACTCTAAAAATGGTACAGTAAATGAGATATTGAGGGTATAAGTAGGTGTAGCCCCTGTAAAGTGGCACTGTACCAACTTATGTCAAGGTTGGGATTGGCCCTGAATCTATATTTACATTTGACTCTGCCAGCTTAAATTCATGTGGTCTCGGCAGCAAGGAATCCCAACAGTTTCTGACACTTCCTGCTTTATTTGTATTTTGTAAATGAATGTAGTTCTTGCAAAAGGTGCCAGGTTGCCTCTGAGACTGTTGATCTATTTGATCCCCCAAAAGAATGCATGATGGGGATAGTGCAAAATTCCCTGCCAATGTGCCTCAGGTCTGACCTGGAGGGACCACCTTGGGGAATGTGTAGTTGTCTCCCTGCACATTCCTCGGCACCAGTCAGAGTGCCAGTTGTGACCTCAGTCCATATCCCATGCAGGGGTGCGCAGTACAAAAATCACCAGGTAGCTAATCAGAGGTCGACTAGATCATTGGGGACCATGCTAGGATGTGACAGTCAGTGTAAAAGATCCAGTTCCAGACTTCTGATCTGTTCAGTTGTTATATTTTGAGTCCTTGAGGGTACATTGCTGTTGGGTTTTCTTTGAAAACACGAAATTCCTGTCATAGTCTGACCTTGTCAAAAACAAGTTAAAAATAAAGCGTTTTAAAGAAAAATGTGTTGTTTGCTATTCGCTCCCTGGCCAAGACTTTACTGGGTTGGCGGTTGCATAATGCTTAGCTAATTATGCAGTTTCTCTCCCTGGTTAACGTGGTAGCTACTTTACTTTTGTAAAACCCAGCTTCAACATGCATCACAAATTGATAGGGAGTAATACATTTTAAGATTGGTAGAGGGGAAGTAAATAATGCTATTAATGAGCTTTGGCAATTGGAAAATGTAAGGATTTCACTTCTGGGAAACTTTTTGTTCTAAGATTGCTCAAGCTGCTTCAAATGTGACAATCTCTATTTGTTATGCCTTGATGTACTAGGTATACTTGACTGCTTAGAAAAGTTTATTTTATGTTTATCATTAAGGATAACTGAGGCATCAGAAAGAAAGTCTGAGAGAAGAGATTGTACCATATAGAGCCTGCACCTTGTAACACTTGTGAACTTGGGCCAACAGGAAATCTAGACCGGGGGAGGTCTCTTAACAGCTAGAAAACTACATTAAAGTGCAGCAGAACTCAATATTACCAGCTGCAGCATAACTCAGCTGGAATCCCAGTGGGACCTCGAAGTAAAATCAATGCATATACTCTATCTGCCCACATCAGAAAGGTGATCCCAAAAGTAAGGAAATGCCCACACCAAAAACGTGATGCTCAAACTCATGTTGCAAAACAGCATTAACTTTCAACAATGATTATTTGCAGTGTTTGCAGAAACAGGGAAATGATACTAAATACTCCTGAGTTGAATAAATAAGGGTTAATTTCTGGCTGGTATAAAAAGGAATCCCTGAGGTCACCCAATGGCATTCTTCAGTGATACTTGTCCACACTACCCTCTTGCGCAAGAGGGCTTACACTTCTTAGAAAAGAGCATAGCTCTTGCACAAGAAGCCCTCTCTTCCCATGCTTTACTGTAAATCATCTTGCACAAGAGCTGGCGGGCTGTGTGGACACTCTGTGGCTTCTTGTGCAAGACCCTGCCAGTGTAGACGTAGCCTTTGAGAAGAGCAACCTCATAAGCCTTTTCTCCATGTGGGCTGCCAAATAGAGAAAGCCTTGTGCTGTGTTTTGAACTCATTGTGTTTGGACTGTTAAAACTTGTGTTGTGAGGCTCTACAGCACAGTACTCACTGGCTGGGGAAAAGCCAGAGCCCATTTTGCCAATGGCTGATGTGACCAGTTACATACTTCTCCTTTGCATCTGTCTTTGGGGGAGACTACAGTACAGGAACACGTAGATTGCGTCTTGCAGTAATACTCCAGTGAGAGCTGTGTGTCAGCACCATGTCCCAAAGTGTAATACTCCAGTCACTACCACTGTGTTGCCTTATGGCCCATGGCATCCAGCAGAACTTCTGCCTGCAATACTGAATGCCTGAACAGTTGTTGTTATACTGGTTACAGACAATAGGGTCATGTGCTTATTGCTGGCACATGGATTGAGCCCTGCCCAGGTACAAAATGTGTATCTGCAAAAATGATCTGCAGATACCCATGGATACAAATCAGATTATCTACAAATTTTCAGAGTTCTAGGTGCAAAAATGAGTTGCAACTCTATGCAGCCACAGCTGCAGATATAGAGCAGTTATCTGTGGTTCTGTGCATGGGTTACTTTGGCAAGCTGTTTTGAGGGCACTTGGCAAGGAGGAAAACTGGACCATGGCTAACACCACAGCAGGCAATAAACATGCAGTACTAGGATTACCATTTTTTTTTTTAGTGCTTGCTTTTAAACTTGATATCCATATATGGTTTTTTAGTAAAATAAGAGCCAGCCATTTTCAAGGTCTGGCTGAAATTTTTGGAGCACACATTTATGAAATGGCCTCAGCTCAAAAGCCATACATTGTTTAGCATGTATATGTTACTGACATTAACATCTGGTTAATGTATAAATTTGTATACCTGCCCTTTTTGGCTTTGGCTGGATATGGTTGCAGGATGGGGGTTAACAGCACTAACATTGGGATGTGAAAATAAAAATGTCAAAAGAACCTAAGGGATATACAGCCCAGAGTTGGGGGGAAAAAGCCTGGTATTTTCTAGCATGCAAAGATTAATTCATACACACTGCTTAAATGATTGCTGTTCTACACCCTGGTTGCCTCAGTGTCACAAACTGACTTCCTGCCCTTGCTTTGATTTATATACAGCAAATAGAACTAGTCATTTGTGTTTAACTGAATAACCCTCGCTTTGTTACCTAATAATTAAAACAACCACCCCCCAACTTTATAGCATGTGGACCTAACTTCTTCAAGCCCCAGCTTGAAACATGGAAAAAGATTAATTACTTCACACCTTTCACCAACAAATGATATGAACTAAGTGGAAGAAAAGTTAATTATTACTTTTGCACCTGACTTCATTTTCCTAGGCTAAAGTGGAATTATTCTCTGCTGCAACTGCTCTAAAATTAGGGGGTGGATGGATCTCCTTGTACTAAAGGCTAAACCCTAGTAGGTAGCTCAACACACTATGGCTATGTTTACATTGACATGATTTTGCACCAAAGCACCCGCTTTCACGCAAAAACATGCTGCCTGTCTACACTGGCGGGGAGTTCTTGCGCAAGAACACTGACGTTCTAATGTGTGAAATCAGGGCTTCTTGCGCAAGAACTATGATGCTCCCGCTCAGGAAAAAGCCCTCTTGCACAACTGTTCTGGCACAAGAGGCCAGTGTAGACAGGCAACATGAATTTCTTGTGCAAGAAAGCCCTATGGTTAAAATGGCCATTAGAGCCTTCTTGCACAAGAGAGCATCTACACTGGCACGGATGCTTTTGCACAAAAGCACATCTCTTGCACAAAAGCACATGCCAGTGTAGACGCTCTCTTGCACAAATACTTTTATGCAAAAACTCTTGCGTTAAAAGTATTTGTGCAAAATCTTGCCAATGTAGATGTAACCTATACGTCTGTCAAAGCACCATTTTTTGCCTTTGGCATCAAATTCCCTCAGCCTGTGCTGATAGTAGGTGCTATTTGTCATAATCATTTAGTTTCTACTGTTCCATGTTTCATGAAAAGTCCCATAGTCTGTAGTGGAACTGGATGTTTATATCTAACTCTCATTCTGTGTATGGAAGCCACGCACACTTTTTGGTGACATGTATTTTCAGATCCGACCCTTTCATAAAAGCAACCAACTGCATGCTCTAAAATGTGCCTTAGAGGGGCAGTATGTCAGACCATAGCCAGCCCTACTGTCAATGGGGTGGATTTCTGCAAGAAGTGTATGCAACTCAGTCATTGTATTCTGCACCCTTTGTTACCGCATGAATTAAATCCATCCAAAGGAAAAAGCTGGGTACAAAATATGATAGCATAGCTACTACTTCATATGCCAGCTTGTTTGTTGATAGACTACCATTATAGGTAGGTGCCATATGTCTCCTTACCGTTGCTTCATGCAAGTAAACCTTAAATTTGCCATAGACACAATGCTTTTTCTCCAGTAAATTTGAGCACAGAAAATAGGGTCAAGGTGGCTGAGAATGTGTGTAGTGTTCATGGCAGTCAAAAGGCTTAATAAATATTTTACTTCACGTTTCTAGATTATTTTAGTTTTGTTACAATTCTGATCATGCATCATAGGAATGAAACAATGAGTTTTAAAGATGTATTCTCTGTGCACATTAAAATAGAAATAAAGGAACATTTAACAAGTTAGCATTTCATCAGATACATCAGATAGTAGGCACAATAGATAAATCAAGCAGTTTGGCTTTATGCAGAACATTTTCATGTAAAATGTTGTGTAGACCAAAATGTAAGAGTAGCTATTAGTAAATCTCCCACACGCCTGCCAAGAAAAGCCTTTATGGGGAGGTTGGGATATTTATGTGCACAAAAACACTGAACAGTAGGAGGACAGAAATAAAAAGTTACTGCAGGCAGCAGAGTGAATATTAAAAACTCTTCCTGTGAAAGAATTCTTCAGACCCTGTAAAAATTGTTAGTTAAAAATAGTTGTA